TACAGTAAATCAATTCTAATTTTCAACCACATATTCTTCAATAAAATAATATTTTTCATCACATCAATAATTTTTTCTTCTTTTTCAACCACACATTTCCCATCATATCACTATTCAAAATCAATTCTTCCCCCAAAAATTTCTCCCAAACAAGCTCTAAATAAGTCAATTTATTTATTATATATTTGTCTCTCAAAAACCATTTTTTCTCTTAATTAATAAACAATTCAAATATTTTTGAATCTGACATAATTTTCATAGTCACGGATTTGACTTCTTTTCAATAAGTAAACATTGCATTTTCTTTAAAAATAAATAAATAAATAATAAAAGCAGCCACGTAACTTTACCAAGTGCAGTACAACTGGTGCACTCTGAATTCAATTAACTCCACGCTTCTAATTTTAACAAATAACGAGCCTTTAAACAATATAAAGTTTTTGTTTGGCGTTGACTAAAATTAAATTTTTAATAATTTTTTTTCAAAAATTGATGAAAAGTATAATTGAAAGTTACAAGTTTAAATTAATTGTTAATTTTAATATGAGATTAAAATCGAATTTTTAGTAAATTTTAATAAATATTGATGAATGTGATTAAAAAATTACAAATTTCATAAAATATATGATTAAAATTAATTATTGATTTTAATTTAGATTTATGATTTTGCTACACTTACATTCTGGTTGACATTTTGATTTACATTTTACCATGTGGCACACAATTTTAGTGTTAATTTATCTAACACTTAAAACAATCAATGATCTCGATTTTGATACCCATTAAAATGTCATTCGAGATGTACACAAAAACCGTAAAAGTAGATTAATTCTTAGACTAATATTTAAATTTTAATCCATACCAAATAGTGCTAAGATCATCTCCAAGAGATTTTCTATCTTTAAAGGGTATATTCTATTATTTAGAGAGTTAAAATTTTAAAGTATTTTAACAAACAAACTATTTATATTTAACACTTAATTTTATTGTTCTAAAAAAATATTTATTATTTTTCTTTATCTTTTATTTTGATTTTTTTTGTTTTCAAATATTTAATATTGAAATACTTTGAATACATTTAATTATAAAGTATGAGTTTGACTCTCCAAATTCAAATAGTCAAACTCAATCTTTAAATTAAAATGATAAATTAAATATTCTTTTAAAGCATAATTTTAAAAGTTGACTTCTAAAAATTCTCATGTTTAAAAATCTTGAAGATGTTCCAAGTGTATATCATCGCCATTTCAATGTGAGCCACAGCTATGCCTCTCACTCTTCTGTCTGCACGCGGATTTGGAAAATCAACAATGTAGATACTTGAAAAAAATAAATATAAAAATAAAGTATAAGAAGAAAAATCTGCAAGTCAGTCCAATTTCTACTAGAAGTCAAACAGTACTCAATCATGCCATTCTTTTTTTTTATTATTATTTGAAACACTGCAGCCGTGTGATTTTCATTGCAGAGGCTACAAGAAATACACTGTACAACACAGGATTCAAAATATTTAGAATTATGGTTCACTTTCAAAGGACTCTCTTGATGTATTGTGTTTACGTTAAAACTTTTATTTTCATTTTTAATCTTATATTTTTCAATAAAATAATATTTTTCATCACATCAATAATTTTACCTTCTTTTTTAACCACACATTCTACATCAATCTACCATTTAAAATACATTCTTCCAAAATAATATGGATAAAAAAATATTAATTAAGTCCACGCATATCGGTAGTCACCGCAAATGCATAATCTGAGGGAATGTTTCAAGTGAATATTGGTGGAAAAGGGTAGCCATAAATAAAGATGGATTTTCACCCCTGAATTGCAGAACCCACTACAAGATCAAGCCGTCTCTTGAATTAGTCCCTCATGGAACTACTAGCCTATTCTCCCAATTAAATTTAGTTAATCGAAATATCTATGTATGGAGATGATTTTGAGCAATACCTATCGTGGATGATAACAATTTCATGCTCGAATTTCCCCTTTTGCTTGAATTCTTAATTGTGTTGTCTCAAGAAAGTCTGTGATACCTGTACAGAAGCATTGCTTCTGTACATGCTGCCAGACACTCACAACATAGGGGGGGTGGGTGAGATTTTTGGCTATTTTTTATTCAGCGTGGAGTCCACCATGTGAGTATCTGGATTCATCTGGTAGATGAATAGTTCTGTACAAGCAGAATAATTCATTTTCTTTTGTTCATATTTTTGAATGAAGTGAATGACAGAATGAGTTTCTGTGAACTGAGGTTGGGCAGCAAAAAAATTTTGTATCTTCTATGAACCTTTGCTTGCAGTCTTTCTATTATGGTTAATAGGCCGTTAACTGTTAGTTGTTAGTGTAGGAAAATATGATAACTAATATCAGATTAACACCGAAT